GGAGTTGTGATCCCTGTGCTTCTCTTCCAACTCAGAATATTCTTTATCTGTGATCTGTCTTTTTGCTGGGATTTCCTGCAGCCATTGCACAAGAGGAGCCCAGCCCTTGGAAAACACCTTTACTTTTGCCTCCCAGAGCTTTACAGATGCTCAAAGTGCACCAAGTGACCCAACTCAGCTGGAAAAAATCCTCCCATTGGTGTCTGTCCCCTCAAGCAGTAAGTCACTTTTTAAACACTCTAAACCCGAAATATTTAAATATTTCCTCCCTTCTAGCCACTCTGATTTATCAGTGGTGCCACTGTGGGTGCTGTGGGAAGGCAGCTGCAGGATTTCTCCTGGGGGGCAGCGAGGTTGGGATGAGAAATGTGGGAAATGTGGGTTTCCACGAGGAAAGTGGAAAATGTCACTGCTTGAGCCCCAGAACAGCAGGACCCCAGATCCAGGTGCCTCAGCAGCGCTTTGGGGGCCGGGGTGGGACTTGGGGGGTGCTGGGAGCCCACGGCTCCCTCCCCCTGTATTTATTTCTGAATTTCCCAGGGCGGTTGTGGCTGTTGGCTGGGGTTGGGGCCATTTCTGGGTGCTGAGGCCGTCTGTGAGAGCTGATAAAGAACTCTGTGGGGCTGAGTCACGCTTGGATCCAGCTCAAGGAGGAGGTGCAGGGCTCTGGGAGGGGACAACGTGCACCATCCACCCCACATTGCACCAACAACCCAGACTGGTTTGGGTTGGAAGAGACCTCAAAGCCCACCCAGTGCCACCCCTGCCATGGCAGGGACACCTCCCACTGTCCCAGGCTGCTCCAAGCCCTGTCCAGCCTGGCCTTGGGCACTGCCAGGGATCCAGGGGCAGCCACAGCTGCTCTGGGCACCCTGTGCCAGGGCCTGCCCACCCTCACAGACAATTTGTTAGAAGCATCACTGTTTTTTCCCTAATGAATAAAATTACCTTTAAGAAGCACCAGAAAATGGTAGGAATAAAATCCTAGAACTCCTGCCATGCCTGTGACCCTGCCAAGCTGGACAGAAGTGGCCAGGGAAAGAGGGACAGCCAGGAACTGCCTTTTAGCTGTGAAATTCCTCATTTGTCTCATTCCAGCCAAGGAGAAAATGCCGAGTTGAAAAGCCACCCAAGCCCTTAACAAGGACACTCTTTTCCTGTTGCCAACCCTTGCAGGACTGTGCAAAATGCGGATTTAATGGAGCATCCCTGAATCCTTTGGTGGGTTCTGCTGCCTGTTCCAGGTGGATAAATCAGCTGCAGGACATGGTCCTGATGGCACTGACAGCATTTGCAGACTGGTCCAGGAGCTGCTGATTCCTTCCCTCCCTGGATTTTGGGGGACTGATGCAGGGAAGTTTTTCTTAGCTCCGGCCTTTTTGGTTTGTAAGGAAATTGGTTTCTCTTTTCAGTGGGAGATAGGATCTTTAAACACAGCCGCTGGAAAATGGCAGTTTTCTAATTGTCATTATTTTTTTTCTGTTTTTTTTTTTTCTTTTTTTTTTTCCATGACATCACTCAGCAGCCCTCGGGGGCTGTGGGGATGCTCCGTGCTCAGCTCAGAGCACTGAACCCACCCTGGTGCTCTCTCAGCATCTCCATCCTGCAGCTCACCCCCAAAAACGGAGCAGGGGGTTCAGCCCCGACTCCCACGGTGCCCCCACACCCCGGGCACGGGCAGGACCTGTAACCTCGTCCCTGTGCCACGAAACGCAGGAAATGAGAGCAAAACCCCAATTTCCTCCTTCCTCCCCCGGCAGCTCCGTGGGGGCTGCAGCCTCGCGGTTATTTTGGCAGCCAAGGTCACCCCTCCCGGTGGGATGGGGAGGGAGCCGGGAGCCCCCCCGGCCCCCAGGCTGTGTGTGGGGGATGGAATTCCGGGCTGGAGCGGCCCAGGGCTCGTTTCTCCAGCAGATGGAGGCATTGCTTTGCTCCCAGTGCCAGCCCAGCTCTGGGAGATCCAGGACTGGCAGGGGACAGGGCGGGCACTGAGCCTGGAAAGGGACACGGGGGGATTTGGGGAGGGGCAGTGACCCCTTTGAGGGGGACACATGTCCTCGTGTCCCCCTCAAACATAAAACTGGTGCAAACATAACACTACCCCATGGCAGGTGCAGCTCACGAGGATGTGGCATCTCCGAAGGGTGGCAGGTTAAAATAATGATGTTTTTACCCCAAAAAACAGTGGGTGGAATGGTTTAAAATATCCGTGTTTCAGTGTGGACGTACTCCTGTTTGGAGTTTCCAACCAAAATGGTGTTAATATATAGAGGGACCAAGAAAATCTGTTTTTTTTTGGTAGTTCCTGCAGTTGGAATGGGTGATCTGGTCCATGGAACAGTTTGAGTTTGATCTTTCCAGGCAGCACTTGGGACTTTCTGTAACCTCTTGGAACACCTGGATGCTCCAAGGCACCGTTTTCACAACTTTTTTTCCAGCTTCTCTTTCTCTTTGGCCAAGGGGACCCTGGGCTGGCTGAGCCCATGGTGGGGACAGCGGTGGCAGCTGTGCCAGGGGCAGGGGTGGCCTTGGGGAGGCCAGGCTGTGCCCTGGGGCTGGGGGGATGGCGAGGGCACTGGAAGGGTCACTCTGTGGAGGAGAAACCCCCTCCCTCTCCCTCCTCACTGGCTCCTGCCCACAGCCCCACTGTAGTGCCCCCCGTGCCTCAGTTTCCCCTGGCACATGCCCAATTTTACAGCCCCATACAAAAATTTGGCTGCCTGTGTGTGCCTGTGCACATCTGCGCTCTCTGGTGTGGATGAGATTCCTTTTAACCCCCCCAAATCCCAATTTTCCTGCCAGCACGACTCGAGGTGCTGCCTTTGCACCCTCCACTTTTGGCACATCCTTCTAAACACCGCATTAATAATTAATAATCGATTAATAGCAGCAGCAGTTCATTAGCACACGTGCATTAATCATTTATTAGTTATTAATATGGACTTTGGTACCCTCGGGGAGGTGGTTTCACATGTTTATGTGGGGTTTGTGGGACTGATGGTGCAGATGGACTCAGGAGCTACAGATCCCAGCAGAGCTCCAGGAAGGGGGAAAGGTCAGCTGGAATTCCAGGAGCTTCCCAGCTTGCAGCAGGTCTGGAGAGCTCCAAGGTGTGAATTCTGCTGCTTTCCAGCTCCTGCTCAGGCTTTGCCCACTGAGTTTGCCTTTTCTTATGAAGGCACATGGGGAAGAGACGGGGGAGAAAAACCCAAATGAGCCACAAAACTCCCTTTTTTTCCTTTTTTTTTTGGTTTTTGTTTTGCTCACAAATACATCTCACATGCTTGTTACATAGAAAACTGTGCCAGGTCTGCACTGCCCTCTGCTCCCACTGTGAGGGTCCATGCCCGACCCCACTCCCACCCCACTCCCACCCCCTTCCCAAGGTTAAAAAAACGCCAGACACCAAACAGGACCCTGGTAGGACACGGCATGCACGGCTGGGGGCAAGGGGCACCAGGCATGCGGGGCCAGGGGGCAGCTGGAGCCACGGCAGGGATGGATGGATGATGGATGGATGGATGGATGGATGATGGATGGATGGATGGATGATGGATGATGGATGGATGGATGATGGATGGATGGATGGATGATGGATGGATGGATGGATGGATGGATGATGGATGGATGGATGATGGATGGATGGATGGATTGATGGATGGATGGATGGATGATGGATGGATGGATGGATGATGGATGGATGGATGGATGATGGATGATGGATGGATGGATGATGGATGGATGGATGATGGATGATGGATGATGGATGATGGATGATGGATGGATGGATGATGGATGGATGGATGGATGGATGTATGGATGGATGGATGGATTGATGGATGGATGGATGGATGATGGATGATGGATGATGGATGGATGGATGGATGGATGGATGATGGATGGATGGATGGATGGAGGGATGGATGGATGGATGGATGGATGGATGGATGATGGATGGATGGATGGATGGATGGATGATGGATGGATGGATGATGGATGGATGGAGGGATGGATGGATGGATGGATGGATGGATGGATGGATGGATGGATGATGGATGGATGGGGGATGGATGGATGGATGGATGGATGGATGGATGGATGGATGGATTGATTGATGGATGGATGGATGATGGATGGATGGATGGATGGATGGATGGATGGATGGATGGATGATGGATGGATGGATGGATGGATGGATGGATGGATTGATGGATGGATGGATGATGGATGATGGATGATGGATGATGGATGGATGGATGGATGATGGATGGATGGATGGATGGATGGATGGATGGATGGATGGATGGATGATGGATGGATGATGGATGGATGGATGGATGGATGGATGGATGGATGGATGATGGATGGATGATGGATGGATGGATGGATGGATGGATGGATGATGGATGGATGGATGGATGGATGGATTGATGGATGGATGGGTGGATGGATGGATAGGGGGCATCCTGTGGCAGCAGAACAGGGTTGGGGGGATGTTCTGAGCAGCCACTTCTGCCCCACAAAGCTCCCAACCCCTCAGATGCTCCGGTGCCGCTCCGGGATGCCCATCAGGGAATGGGCAGCTGCCCCCTCCAGCTCCCAGCCTGACCATCACTGGCTGGAGAAGGGACATCCAGGTGGGGAATATCCCTGCAGGAATAGGGACAGAGGTGGGACCTGCAGCAACCCCAGGGTGCACATGGGAGGAGGAAGAGGAGGAGGAACCAATGAATTCCCTGGATCCTCCAGGTCACATCCAGGCTCTTCCATTCCAGCTTCATTCCTTCTCCCACACACAAAAATCCACGCCCTGAGGCCAAGCCAGGGCAAAGGCTGGGAAGGGGTGGGATGGCAAGGCAGGAACCACCCCTGTGGCAGCAGGAGCAGCCCCAGGGACATGGACCCGTGGTCCTCAGTGCCGGAGGGTGCAGGATCTGGGATGGAGGTGTCAGCCAGGACATTGTCCTGCACTGCTTCTTCCCAGCTTTTCTCTCCTCTTCTTTCCTGGGCCGTAGGGCCTCCCTGCACAGGTTGAACCAGGTCCTGTTCTCCTGCAGATTCTGACTTTGCAACTCCAAGAAAATTAACCCAAAAGTGCCTTTTGAACCCGTAGGAATCCCAACCCCCCATCAGGTGGATGCAGAGACAGGGGGGGGCCTTGCATTGCCCTGGGGTTGCTTTTCCTGATTTTAATGATCTTGGCCTCATTTTGCCTTTTTTCCCCCTTTTTTTTCCTTGCTGACACCTCCTCAGAGCCTGGCCCTGGAGGATTATTATTGCTTGTGCAGAAGCGTCCCCAGGCACCCACATTGGCAGATGCTGGATCTTAAATCCACGGATGAAAAGCTCTCAAGGCACATTTGTGCCCGGGAGTGGGGGGGGTCTGTCTTTGCCAAGGGGCTGGGGTACCCCCCAGCCTGGCACAACCTCCCCAGTCCCGCATCACCCGGAAGACATTTCTCTTGGAAATTCATTAAAAAAAAAAAAAAAAAATTGGACCAAAACCCCCCACCAACAAGAAGAAAAGAACCACAAACAACTACCAGGAAAGTTTTCTGAAGAGTCCCTTACAAAAAAAGGGAAAGGATGGTGGGAAAACAGGAAGCATTTTCTCCCAGGCCCAAACACTGCTGATCTTTTGGCTCAAGAAATGCATAGTTGGTAGCAAAAACCTCGCTACATCAGGAGCCCCTGGGACAGCCCCTGAGCCCTGAGGGCTCTCCACAGGGCTGAGACATCGGGGTCATCCCTCCCTGACCCTGAGGTCCCCACGCTTCTGACCCTGCTGGCTGTGGCACCTCTGTCTCCAGCCATGTCCCAGCATGGCAAAGTCACTCTGCCAGCTCCGAGACATGGCCAGTGCTCCCACAGCCCTCCCAGCCCCGCTCCCCGTGCCCAGGGCTGCAGAAAATGGTTCTCCTCGGGGAGAGGCTTAGATCATCTTCATGTTGAACTTCCTGGCCCCTCCTTGGCCGGTGGTGGTGGTGGGACCGTCCACCTTGCGGAAGGAATATTCCACAGAGAAGTTGTTCTTGTGCTGCCCCCGGCCGCGGCTCCAGACGAAGAGCAGGAGGAAGCAGAAGAGCACCACGCCCAGGAAGGTGATGCAGCCCATGGCCGTGGAGACCAGGATGGTCTTGAGGTCCAAGGTGAACTTCAAGAAGACCTGGGTGTTGTTGTGGAAGGTGTCGTTGAAGTCGCTGAGGTACAAAGTCCGGTTGGCGTGGTGGGCGCCGTCGGCCGGGCGCCCCTTGACCGTCAGCGTGGCGAAGTAGGTGTCGTTGCCACCGGCGTTGCTGGCGATGCAGATGTAGGTGCCGCTGTCCTGCACCTGGGCGAAGCGGATCTCCAGGGTGCCCCCAGGCAGCACCGTGGCCCGCCCCGTGCTGCGGGTGGTGATCATGCGGTGCTGGGGGGACACCCAGGCGATGGAGGGGTCGGGCTCCCCGTCGGCCCGGCACAGGAAGGACACGGACTGCCCCTCCCGCGCCGTCACGTGCTGCAGCTTCCGATCGCGGATCTTGGGCTTCTGGCAGGTGAAGTACTCGAAGAGCACCGAGTCCGGGAAGTCGCGCAGGGCGTTGCCCTGGATTTCGGGCGGCGAGGAGCACATGGGCTGCTGCCCGTCGAAGTTGAGCGTCTTCCGCCGCTGCAGGATCCAGAGGAGCCGGCAGTCGCAGGCCAGGGGGTTCCTGTCCACCCGCAGCGTCTCCAGCGTGTTGACCGAGTGGAAGGTGCTCTCCTCCAGCGTGGACAGGAAGTTGCTGGAGAGGTTGAGCAGCCGGATCTGTCTCAGGCCGGAGAAAGCCTGCGGCTCCACGGACACCAGGAGAGCGCCCACGATGTGGAGCTCCTGGAGCCGGATGAGGTCCTTAAAGGAGCCTCTCAGCACAGTGCTAATGGGGTTGTAGGACAGGTTGAGGTACCGCAGGTACACCAAGTTCCTCAAGGCAGCGGCGGGCACGGCTGTGATGTTGGTGTAGGTGATGGAGAGCGAGGTGAGGTTCAGGCCCTGGAAGCTGGTGGGGGACACCTCCTCCAGCAGTGGCCAGTTGTCGATCTCCAGCTGCAGGAGATTGTAGAGCTTCTTGAAGTTCTGATCCTCCAGTGCAGAGATGCTGAGGTGCCGGAGCCGCAGCACCTCCAGGTTCTGGAGGTAGGACAGCGACTCGGCCGAGATGGAGGTCAGGTTGCACTTCTCAATGGTCAGCTGCTCCAGGCCCAGCAGCCCCGAGAAGGCGCGCTGGGAGATGTACACCAGGTCGTTGTCACCCACCTCCAGGCTCTTCAGGTTGCGCAGGTCCTGGAACATGTAGTCCAGCAGGATGACCAGCTTGTTCTCGCTGATGTCCAGCAGGGTCAGGTTGGTCAGCTTGGTGAAGACCCCCGGGGGGATGAGCTTGAGCTGGTTCCCCCGCAGCCGCAGGGTCTGCAGGTTGAACAGGTTGCTGAAGGCGCCGGGCTCCACATTGGAGATGATGTTCTCGCTGAAATCCAGCTCCTCCAGCAGCGGGTACGGGGCCAGGTCGCCGGGGTTCAGGCAGCGGATGCGGTTCTTGTTGAGCTCCAGGACGCGGGTCTCGGTGGGGATGCCCTCGGGGATGGCGGTGAGGCGCTTGCGGTGGCACAGCACCGAGCGCAGCTGCGGGGCGCACTCGCAGCGCGCGGGGCAGGCGCCCGCCCGCGGGGACAGCAGGAGCACGTGCAGGGCCAGCGCCGGGAGCCACCATGTCATTGTGTGGGGCATGGTCTAGGGGCTCACTGCTGTTCTGCCATGCGCCTGCGACAGGGAGAGAGCGGAGTCAGTGGGGCAAGGTCCTACCCGGCCCCCCAGATCACCTGGCTGGGAGCTGAGACTGGGCACTGCTCCCCAAACCTGTGGGGCTGGTGAGGCCCCAGTCCCTCCAGGAAACCCTCTGGATCTCTTTCACCTATGGTGCAACCTGGGGATCTGCCCTGCGCAAAGCTGGGATAAACGAGCCTCACTCTCCATCAGAACAGGGAAATGAGGCAGGGGGAGAGGTCTGTGAGAGAAGCCAGTTCTGCAGAGCCTGTGCTCCCACTGGCTCAGCCCTCCCTGTGCACCTGACAGTGCAGGCACGGGTGGAGGGGGTGGTGAGCACCCAGGATAATGCACAGACACACCAAGGGCAGGGCAGGAGCAAGGAGATGCTGGCAGAGACATTGCCAACTCGTGGGATGACACAGGTGGGATGTCCCATTCCCTCTGCTCCTGGTGCGAGGTCTCATCCAGTGGCACAAATTATCCCCAGGCCCCTGGCTTGGAGGGGTCCTGTAGGACAGGGGACATTCGGTGCCACATGTAGGGCCTGGTCCCCTGTCCCCTGTCCCCTGTCCCATCCCCGTCCCTGTCCCTGTCCCTGTCCCTGTCCCACCCTCTGGGAGCAGAGCACAGATTAGGGTGGCCCCGGGCACAATCTTTGCTGAGGAGGGATGAACCCCACGGCTCCATGCCCTGGCTGCCCTCCTTTCTCCCCTCCTTTCCAGGGATTAGCACTTTTCTGCCGTTTCCCTTTTCTTTGCTTCCCCTTTCCCACTCCCTGTCCCCATCCGTGCCCCAAATCTGCCAGGCTGCCTGGAAACACCACCGCAAACTCCTCAGCCGCCTTTCCTTAATGAAGCACGGTCATTAACCTAATTAAGTGGCAGAGTTGCTCGGTTGGGGAGCTGTGGGGTGTTTTTGAGCCTGGCAAGAGAATATTGGGGGTACCAAGAGCAGAGCCAGCGCCTCCAGCCACCCCTGGGGAGGTGCAGGGAGTGGCACTGACAGCTCCAGCATGGGGGGCTTTGTCCCATCGCTCCCACAGCACTGGGACAAACTGGGGTGCAGACCCCCAGGGGTGGTTCCAGCCTTTCTGACCTTCAGGGAGCCCCAGCTGTGGCTCCAGGGAGCTCCTCTCACACTCCCTTCTGTCCCTTGGGGCACCCCAGGGACCCCAAACCTGTCTGTGGGAGCCCAGCAGGATGTGGGGTGAGGGAAGAGGACGATGTGACATCTGTGGCTGCTCCAGGCTGCCGAGGTTGAGCAGTGCTCCACCTCAGTGCCACTGCAGGTCCTCAGTGCCTACAGATCCCCAAAAGGCCCATCTTGAGGTGGCTGCTGCTTGGTTTAGGGGGTGACAGGAGAGCGATGGGGACCCCAGATCCCACAGAGAGGTGACACTGATGGAGCAGGGTCAGCAGCCCAGCATCTCCTGCTCCTCACACCCCCTGTGCTGATAAAGGACACCAAAGGCTGATGTCACCTCCCTCCTGTCCCCATGGGCTGGTGGCACATGGGCACAACCTCAGGGGGCTGTTATTGGCTCTGTGTGCTCAGGTCTGGGGGAAGGATGCAATCTCTATGACAATTTCCTGTCCTGATCCTGTTATCCCAGAGCAGCAATCTCTGGGATTAAACCCATTGCTCAAGTGCCATTTTGGGAGGATGGGAGATGATCTTCAAGGAGCGTTTGGACAGCGCTCTCAGGGATGCTCAGGGTGGGGTTGTTGGGGTGTCTATGCAGGGACAGGGGTTGGACTTGATGGTCCCTGAGGGTCCATTCCCCTCAGGATATCCCAGGCTTCTGTGACCTTTTACAGATGTGGGGATGTGGCACTGAGAGACAAATGGTGTCCTTGGCAGTGCTGGGCTTGGACTCGATGATCTTAGAGGGATTTGCACCCTCACCAATTCTATTCTGATTCTATGACTCCTTTTTCTTCCATTCTCTGTGCATGTCTTAATTTTGCCACATTCTCCTTTTTCTTCCAACAAATCAAACCAAGAGGGAAGTGTCACCATTTCACACAACCACAGGATTAACAGCCGGGGGAGAGGGGGGTGGGCTCACCGACCCCACTGCTGCCCCTGCCCCTTTCTCCCCTCTCTCCAGCACTGCTCAGCTTCACTCCTTGCACCAAACCCCCTTTGGGGACTGGAGGTCCCCAAATGCCACCTGGACACTGGAGCTGCTTGGCAGCCCCTGTCTTCCAGGAGAGCCACTTTGTGAAGGCTCTGCCAGGCTGGTGGCCCCAGGAACCTGAGCTGGTTCAGGGGTGAGGTGGGGCAGCTCCTCTTGGTCCCCCTGGTTCTGGAGGCCCCACTCTTGCTCTGCCCTGGGGCTGCATGAGAAGGATGCCCCCAAGCACGACCTGCAAACCCACAGGACAAAACCCTCCTCATTTATTGAGACACTTTTCCATCCTATTCAGTGTCTCTACACTAAATAAAGGTACACCTTTAATGGTGTCCCCGTGCCCACCATCCCTCCAAGGATCCAGCCCTTCCCTTCCCTGCCTGAGGCTCTGCCCCGTGTTCATTATGGATGAGCCCGGGGTAACCCAACTCCACTTCTGCTTCCTACTCTGGACACCTGATCCTCTAAGCAAAGCTCCAGCCCCACTGGAATTGTTTTTCGCTGGCAGATGGAGAGCGGGAACCACAGCCCTGGGCTCAGCTTCCCTCTCCAGAGCCAGAGCATCAGCCAGCCCTGCTGCCCCCAGCCCTGGGCTCAGTTTCCCAGTCCATCAGCCCGTCCTGGGCCCCCCTTCCCTGCCCATCAGCCAGCCCTGCTGCCCCCAGCCCCAGCCATGGGTGCTCCACTGACCCCACAGCAAACCCCACAGCTGGATGAGCCATTCCCTCTCCGAGCCGGGCAGAGCTGGGCTCTTCATTAATAGCTCATTATGGTGATTGTGCAGCTCTCCGGGCTCTCCCAGCCCCTGGGGAGCCAGGGCAATTAAGATCCAGAGCAAGGCCTAGATAGAGGCTCTTCTCCTCATTTAATTTGTTTTTAAAAATAACAAGCTTGCTGCATGCAGCGCTGGGGACAGAGCCAGCAAAGCCTGGGGCTGAGGGGCTGCGATAGGGGAAATAGAGCAGAGCAATTTTGGACAATTTGACAATTTTGTGAGCCCCTGGAGCCTTCCCTGCCTCATCTCCTACTTCCCCACCAAGATTTGCGACCACTGAGCTTGTTTTGTCCCAGCCACCAGCAGCACAGAGGAACTGCTGCCCTCCAGCCACCCTGGCTTGGGGCTCCCCAGGGAAGCTGTGGCTGCCTCTGGATCCCTGGAAGTGCCCAAGGCCAGGATGGACAGGGCTTGGAGCAGCCTGGGACAGTGGAAGGGGTGGAATCAGATGGTTTTTAAGGTCCCTTCCAACCCAAACCATTCTGGGATTCCATGACTCCTGCAGGTGGGATTTGGCTCCCTCTCTGCCCTTCAAACAGCTCCTGCTCCTCTGCCACAAGCTTGGCCCTGCCAGCTCCTCAAAGAGCAGCTGCTCCTCATTGGCCATGATTTCTCCCTTTTTGTGAATAAAGACCAAAAAATCAGCCCAGGTTGCCATTTCCAGGTTCTTCTGCTCAGACATCACATGAGCACAAACACCTCAGTCAGATCAAGGTCTTGTTTTATCCTTCCCTTGACATGCAGGATGTAAAGTGTTCCTGCTGAGCCCCTCTCGTTCCAGCACCCATTGCTGCTGCTCCAGACCCATGGTGGGGGCCAGGGGCAACCAGGGGATGCTGCTGCATTTTTCCAGGGATGCAGGGAACCCCAGGAGAGGATGGAGACCCCAAAGTAGGGAGGGAGCAGAAAGTGATGGTGGGATGCCCACCCTGAAAACATTAACAGGGGGGATAACCCCAGTGCTCTGTCACAGGGGCATCAGGGAGCTGCCAGTGCCTTGTGCCAGTGTGTCCCAAACTTGGCATGAGACAGGAGAGGGCTCCTACAAACAGCAGCAGCAGCCAAGTGCTGTTGGGAACACCCCGAGCGCTGCCCAGCCCTGCCTGGCAGCTGAGTGCCCCACGCCATCCTCGCTCCCTGGCTGCTGTCCCCAGCCTGGTTCTGTGCCAGGGAAGGCAATACCAACCCTGCTGGGCTGTGCCAGCATCCTCACAGGCACTGTCACCCTGCTCAGCCCCGGCCTGGGGTTGGGGCTGGGGTGGGATGGGGTGTCCAGGCACCCCGGCAGTGCTCCCCAGCTCACTGACACCTTGCCAGGATCGCTGCTGGACTCCCCTTCAGGGCAAGCCCCGTGTGCTTCCCTGTGCTGGGCTGTGACCTGGGTGAGATCTCGAGTGCCAGGAACAGGACTTGGCTGGATCAAGCAGGCTCCATGGGCTTGAACCTCCCCGAGTTGCTGGCAGGGGAGCAGAGGATGGGGCACTCGGGATGCTGATGCCAACAATTCCCTGGCTCCAAGCTCTGCCCATGGGGAAGGGAAAACTGCAGCCAGAGCTGCCCCAGGACAGAGCTCCTCCAGACCTGAAAAAGAGCCCAGGCCCCAGTCCTGTGCCAAAGCCCTTCCAGACTCCTGCTTCTTCTTCCCTGCTGGAAAACCTCAGTTACACCTTCCAAAAGCACCCTTCCTCCTGAAATGGCAAAAACATGAGGGTCCCTGGGGTCTGCTCCATGCTCAGCTTCACTGGTGCCACCACCCACACTGATGGTGGTGCTGGCGATCCCCGGGGGGGTGCCTTGGCATCGTTCAGAGCTGGCAGAGCCCAGTTTGATGTGCAAATGTGAACTCAGGGAATCCAAATGTGTTTTCCCAGCTGTTGCTGCAGCTCACAGCAGAGCACAGCTCCCAGGGCACTAAAATGAGGACCAAAGGTGACCTGTGCCACCCTCCAAAAACAGCCCAAAAGCTCCTGCAGCTTTATTTTAGCCCTTGTCTCGAGTCTGCAAAGTCAGTGGGTTTGGAGCCACACTGAGCTTGGCAAAAGCCCAGAAAAGGCAGGGGGGGCATGGGGAGGATAGAGGTGATGGGGAGGAGCTTCAGGAGCATCCCTCGGACCTTCTCTGGCTCCTGGTGTGACACCAGCAGGCTGCTCCCTCTGCACAGGGCAGCAGAAACATCCTGGCTTATGCTGGGGTGTGGAGGGGATTAAATCAGAGCTGAGACAGAAACAAAGAGGCAGAAACTGGAGGGTCAAAGGAGGCCAGGGATGTGCCCAAGCCTCAGCTCTGGTGATCAGGCAATTAGCAAGCCAAGCATGAGAATAAATAATCCAGCTGAAACAGGGAGAGCAGGACAGAGCTGGCGGTAAGAAGGAAGGAAATCAATCACCAGACCTAATGGAGAATTATCCAGGAGAGAGAGTTATTCCTAATCCCATCAGGGGCTGGCTGGGAAACAAATTCTCCTGGCTCTGCGGCTCTCAGCAGCTTTTCTGGGTCAGGGCTGGGCTGGGCAGGGCTGCAGAGCAAAGGGACAACCAATGGCTCCAGGAATGGCTCCAGGGCATCTTCCCACCCCACAGGACCTGGCGAACACCTTGAGGGTCCTCAGGCCAGCAGGTGGCCAAGTGGCCATCCCCAACAGCCTTGTGGTGTCTGTGCTCCTGCTGTCACCCTCGTGTCCCTCTCAAGCTGCTCAGGCAGCAGCAGATGTTGCTGGCACATCTGGGAATGGGGAGGGAGCGTGGAAGGAGCTGTCTGTGCAGGAGCCAGGCGGTGGCTGGGTCACCACAGAACGTCCCCGGCTGTGACTCCAGGGACAGCTCGAGAACATGAAAAGCTTCCACAGAAGGGAGTTATTTTGGTGAGTGGCAGCTGCTGCCTCTCACGAGGCTCCTCCTGCTCAGCAGCCCCAGGTCTTGGGGCGGCCAAGCCAGCACTGGAGCAGCTCCCAGGGAGGCAGGATCCTTCCTTCCCAGCAAACCTGGTGTCTCCACGGTGTCTTCCCACCCCCAGCATCCCATCCCGAGTCCCCAGCAGCTGTGGCCACAGGACTCCCCACTCCTCTCCCACGTGGGAACTCCCAGCCCTCGCAAAGCCCAGAACTGAGGATTCCCTGACGAGCCACGGCACCAAGGAGACGACCCGAAAGGAGCCACAGCTTATTTTTAGAGACAACCTTATGATTCCCGAGCACGTGGCCCAGGCAACACTGCACAGACAGCCCCAGATTGGCCACAATCTGCTTTTCTTCTTGACAGACATCATGTCTGAATCTCTATCTCCACAAGATGCTCCCAGGAGAGGAGACATTTAGAGACGACCACGACGTACAACATTTCTGAAAGGTCACTGCCTGCACCAGGCTGTGAGGAGCCGAAGCCACTCATCAGCAACAGGGGCTTTAGGGAGGTGTTTAATATTCCATGAGCATCTCTATTTCTCTACCAAAGTGGATAACTCTTCTAAAAGTAGGGGAGGGGGCAGGGCAGGTGGGTGCTGGGCTCGTTTCCACCCAGGGTGGGTTGGCTGAACCACCAGTCAGAGCTGAACCACCAGTCAGAGCTGAACCTGGACTGCTGCTGGGAAATGGTGGCTGAGAGTGAACCTGACCCGGATCTCAACAGCCTAAGAACCTGCTGGACCAGAGCAGAGGCTGAGCTTGACTCCCCCTCTTCAGCTGCATCCCAGACCACCCAGCTGCCACCGAGCTGTTCCACGGCTGCCACCAGGAACCCTGGAGCTGAACCCCACACAGTGGCTGTGGCCCCTGCATGGACAGCAGGGGCTCATTTTTTGAGGGTTCAAGTGAGAACTTTTAATTTGCAGAAGCCTGTTACCATCAGGGGCAGGATGAGGAGGGGCTGGGAGGCAGCTGCAGGGTGACTGCCCACGTCCCACTGCGCCAGGACTTCCTGGTGTTGTCCCATCCCAGTCTGTCACCAGGACTGGGTGCTGGCCACAGCCCCCATGGTGTCCTTGTCCCTGAGCACCGACCCAGCCAGCAGCAGAGTGACAGCCCAGGTCTAGGAGACTCCCACTGCCAACCCAGCTGGGCTTTGCCAAGGTCCCATCCAAGCCCAAAGGCACCCATCCAAACCAACCTGTGGCCAAGCTTGCCCAGTCTCAGGTCTCCCCAGCCTGGGAGTGGGCACAAGGAACCCAAACCCCTGTCCTGGCACCCAGCTGTAGGGTCCACGTGACATTTGTTGCTGCTGGAGGTACAAACCACGAGCCCACAAGAGCCCCAGCAGCACAGATGTGACAGCCAGGCACAGAAAAAGCAGGGCCACGCTCCTGGCAAGGGCTCCTGCCCCCACAGAGACACAAATACAGAGCATTCATTGAGAGAGGGGAATTTGCTCCTTCCCCTGCAGCTGCCTCCCCCTCCTGCCTCCCTCCTGAGCTCATCCCTCAGCTTCTGCACCGAAACACAGCCTGAGGGCAGCGTGGCTGTGGGAGGGGACAGAGGGAATGTTCCAGAGCCTGGCCAGGCAGGACATCCCCAGGCACAGCACCGGGGCATGGTGGGGACACCTCTGGGGGTGTCCCCTCCTGCTGGGGGGGACACATCACCCCCAGGGGCTCTGAGCAGCAGGGAGGACGTGAGACCTTGTCACAGGAAGGGACCCTGTGCCTCCTCTGCTCCAGCCCAGCAGCTCGGTAACAGAGGAGGTGCTGGGGCAGGATGAATGAGGGAAGAGGAAAGCAGAGGCTGTAATTAGGCACCTTTCAGAGGCTGATGGATGATGCTGCTCTGGGGGCGTGCAGAGCGCTGGGATGCTGACTGCAGCCACCCCCAGTGCCAGCACTGGTGCCAGTCTGGCCAGCAGCGCCCAGCAGAGCCCTGCCCTGCTGCTGGACAGTGATTCCTGGTGATTTCAGTGCCAGCTGCCTCCCACGGGCTTTGCCCCAGCACATGACCTCATTTGTCCAGCGGGCCCAGCCGTGCCAGCCCTCGTTAGATCAGCTCGTTCATTGAGCTCAGCACTTCAGTAACGCTGGCCTGAGCCCCTCGGGGGGCTGGCACATAAATCACACCCTGATTGCTGGCACTGGCTGCCTGTGCTGGACCTCTGATGGCAAAATCTCCTCCTAATCCGTCACCAGAGCTGTGGTGACACCGGTCAGGGCAGTCCCAGCCAGCCCTCCGAGCTCCTGGATAAAACAATGGCTCTTTGCAGCCTTGACCCACAGGGAAGACCTTGCTCCTGAGGGCTCAGCCCCATGGGAGCCTTCATCCATGGCAGGGCTGCCCAGCAGGGCCAGCTGCCCTCAGGAGAGCAGCCTGGAGTCCTGGCTGCTCCCAGCCAATCTCTGCAGGGTGATCCATCATTCCTGAGGCTTTAATCCAACTGGGCTGCTGGACATTGGGCAGAGGAGCAGACTGACAGGCCAGACTGATGGACAGCTGCCTGCTCCGAGGCCAGCAGGGACAGGCAGCCGTGCTGGGAATCAGCCTGGTCCCAGCAGGACTGCTCAGCTCTGCAGAACCCAGCTCTGCAGGGGAAAGGGGCAGAGCTGGAGCCCCCAGTCTGCTGGAAACCCTGCTGGAATTCCAGCCAGGAGCAGCACAGAGTGACAGCTTTCCCTCCCCCTCCCAGCTCTGCTCAGACAGTCCCGGGCTGAGAGCATTTTTTAAGACCTGTCTACAGCTGCTGCTTCATTGGAGATTTTATTGCCATCCCAATTATGATCATGGGAGCAGCGAGAGCAGAATGCCACTACAGGGGTGAAACAGCTCCTGACATCCCAATCCATCCCTGCCGCGCCCGACCAACCCCTGAAATAACCCCGGAGAGGGGAGGGGGACAGGGGGATTCACCCCAGATCCCGCCTGGCCTCGCTGCTCAGATTCCAGAGGGGCCCAGCAGAGCCCGGGGGGGTCCAGCTGTGCCACCCCAAAACCCCCCCGGGCTGGAGGATGTGGCAGCAGTGACATTTGGAGCGAGACACGCTGGCGTCAGTCCCCAGATCTGGGGCTGCGGGGCATCAGCTGGGGCTGGAGCAGCAGGAGAACAGCTCCTTTCCCATGTGCAGCCCCAAGAGGATCCCAAAAAGCAGAAATATCCACAGGGGAAGGGAAAGGGCACGGCAGGGCCATGTGGCTTCACTCCCTGTCTGGCATCTGGGCAGCAGAGCAGGGGCAAAGCCTCCAGAGCTCCCTTCTGAGCGGATGAGCTCCCAAATCCCAGGAAATCCATCCAAACCCCAAAGCACAGCTGCACATGGATCCTGGCACGGCCAAGGCTGGGGTCCCACTGCTGCCTGCTGTGGCATTCTCATTCTCTGGACACAGAGACATAATTCTGTCTCTCAGGAGAAGCACAGAGAGAAGAAGAGAGAACAATCTTTATCTCTGCTCCTTTTTTTTCCCCGTGTGGAATGTGGTGTGGAGATTTTTTACCTGAAGTGATTGCTGGATTGGATTCTTGTGAAGGTTTTTTTGGGTTCAGTGACCAATGGGATCCATCTGTGTCTTAGACTCTCAGCAGAGAGTAATGAGTTTAAGTTAGGTAAGTAAGAAGTAAGTATGTAGAATAGGATAGTATATCTTTAAATAGTATATCAATGTAATATAGTATAGTTTTAATAAAGTTTAAAAATTGAAATAGTTTTATATATTTATTTAAAATAAATATCCCTCAGTCTCCTGATCTGGAGCCAGACATCATCATTTCTTCCCTGAATCTGGGGCTCGCTGCATTTTTTTACTACAGCCTGCCACCAACCCTGAGCAAAGTGCCTGAGCTCAGCAGCCCAGAGCTTCACAGCACAGCTCTGCCCGAGTGACTTCTGGCTCGTTCTGGGTGGTGACAACAGGCTGGAGATCTCCCAGCTGCTCCATGGGACCCATGTCCAGCAGGGCTGGCCACGAGGTTAAAATGAGCTGGATTTTGAGTGCCCCAGTGCACAACCCCCAGTCCCACCGGAGCCCGGGGAGTTCTCACCGTTCTGCACGTCCAGGGCTGCTCCGACATTGGGATCTGCTGAGGCATTGGAGCCTGGGAATGTTCAAATGGAGACGTGTCCAGCACAGGCAGCCTGGGCTCCTCTGCACAGAAAGCACAAGGAGAGCACTGTCAGTCACCTTCCCCCAGTGTCTGCCACAGAAATCCCAACTAAACTCCTCCAAAGTCCAGGGATGCACTTCCCAGAGAGAGGGAGCTCCTCAGTGCTGCTCCAGCCGCATGTGAGACCCAACCATTGCAGCTTGACTGGTTTTATCTATAAATATATAAATATTATATTTTTATTTATATATGTATAAAATATTTGATATGTAAAAGAAATATATATATTATGTATTTATATATAATATATATTTATATTCACATATAATTTTATAGACAAATATTACATATCTATATTTTATAATACACATTTAATATATATTATATATAATACAATATATTATATATCATATACTATATTACATAATATAGAGTATATTATATACTACTATAATATAATAGTATGTCTTATAATAATATAATATAATATAATATAATATAATATAGTATAATATAATATAATATAATATAATATAATATAATATAATATAATATAATATAATATAATATAATATAATATAATATAATATAATATAATATAATATAATATAATATAATATAATATAATATAATATAATATAATATAATATAATATAATATAATACATTGTGTTATTTATATATTTTAAAATATATAAATATTATATATTTATATTTTATATAAATATAAAATTCTATCACACTTTCTACCCTGCAGGATCCTCTCCCCACCAGGAGAGCGTCCGAGCCCAGCCCTGCCGTGGGTAGCCCTGGGTGGAGCAGGGATTACACGGCACTGCCCGTGGGGAATCGTGCAGGGGCTGCAGGGGGGCACTGAACTCACCCAGTGGGTGCCCACTGCCCAGGAGGCCTCGAATCGGGGGAGATTTCACCCAAACCTGGCAGCAGAAGTGCCACTGGCCGGACCCCAGCCCCGTGTCCACCCCCTGGGCATTTTGGGGGACCTGTGGGGTCGGGAGATGCTCCCAGCCCTGCTGCAGCAGATGCTGAACAAATGATTCGCTGTGGTTTTATCCAATTGCTTTGAGCTCTCTGGATCAAGTTCAATTTGCCTGTTGCAAAGAAAAAGGGAATTTAAATAGCTCCTTTTGTGTGGAAATCCTGCTGAACAGCCCTCAGACTCCCCGCTGGGTCTGGAGCACACCCACGCAGAGACGCGGCTGCTGCTCCGGACCTCACTCAGGTCTGGAAGCTGCGGTTTGGGCCGGCAGCAGAGGGGTTAACTCCTGCTGGGACAGCCTTGGGGAGCCTTAGGCAGAGGAGCTTTGGGATTTGCTGGGGAACGGCTCCGGGGGGCACAGGGATCACACCCCAGCACATCCCCGAGCCAAGAATGCCGGGGAGATGGAGCTCTCCATCCCTGTCTGCTCCTGCAAAACACAGCGGTGTCCTCAGGCTTCTGTGGCTGGGTAAATCCTCCCTTTTGGGCTTCCTGGAGAACTGGCAGTGCCCGGCTTCTGGAAAAGCTAAAATTCCGCCAGGAATTCAGCACGACCCCAAAATCAGAGAGATTCCCTTCAAACCTGCAGGTTTGGGCTCAGCCGTGCAGGGACAGTGCTGAGGGTTCAGTGCAGGACTTCCACCAGTGCCTGGCAACCCCAGCTCATTCCCTGCTCCACATCTTCCCTTCCTGCTCTGCCTCAGGGACCCAAACTTCTCCCTGCAACAGCAGGAACCCACAGCTCCAGATCCCAGCGGGTCCCTTCTAACTCAGGATGTTCCGGGATTTGATCATTCCATGGATCCCAGGACACCTGATAGCCCCCCAGATCCGGTCAGCGTCACACAGCCTTGATATCCAGGAGCATTAAGCCAGAGACTTTTGCTCATTAGTGTAATTAATGTCAGATTTCCCAGCCAGCTGAGCTTCCAGCTGACCTTTAGTTATTGAAATATCAACAACAAAAATGACACATTTCCACGGGGAGGTGTCACAGGCTGCTCATTTGAAATCCTCTCTCAGTGACAGGCCCCCAAAGAGTTTCTTTCTGCAAAAGTAAATGGGAAGATTTGGAAAATGCTCAAGGAAGGAGGAAGAATTCAGCTCCACAGCAGCACAACAGGGACACAGCATCTCCCAGCTTTAGGGACACAGCCAGAAATGACCCCAGGGAGAGAAATGGAAGGAGAAATGAGGCAGAACTGTAAAAATGAAACAGAGGGAACAAAAGATCTGTTTCTTAGGAGTCTTGGGAATGTCACTGAGGTGGAGACAGCAGAGCCAGGACTGAGGCAGCAGGGCCAGGTCCCCAGGCCATGGAGTGATCCCTGAACAGCACAAAGTCAGGGGCAGCAGCTGCCTGAGCCAGAGAGAACCTCAGGGCATGGAAAGAAACCCCAAAAACCCAGCAGCAATGTCTGATGCTGGCTGAGCCTGACCCAACAGATCACAGCCCCATTTGTCACTGCAACAGCAACAACCTGGACCCGACTTTCCAGAGGTTTCCAGATGTTGGTGCAGGCTGAACAAGGCAAGGGAAGGCAGCAGTGCCAAATTGCTTTGCCACAAGGCTGGTGCTTGATGTAAAAGTGACCCTGAAGGTAAGAGGTAAGACCCTGAAATTTGTTTTCCCTCAGGAAATGATGCCTCAGGTTTGAGTTTTTCTATTTTTCAGGTTCTGTGCTGCTTTAGTGTGTGGGTCTGGGCTTCATATCAGGGGATGCTGAGCTCTCTGCACAGAGCAGGGAGACAAAACAATTCCTTCTCCAGCTGGGGACCAAGGACAAATGATCCAAATCTCGGCCCAAGAGCACAAACAATGTGGAATGAAGAGAGAAAAACAAGCAGGATGGGACTGCCTGGGCTGGAGCTGGAATTGGACAATGAACTCCAATGTGCAAGTGGAGCAGAACTGATCAAAGTGAGAGACCCCGTGAGCAGTTGTGCATTTTGTGACCATTTTAGTTCATTTTGGGTGTAGCCCTGGCTGGGCTGGAGGGTCCAACCCCACAATAACTCCTGGAATGACTTCCAGAGCACTGGGCATGGCTGGCAGGGATGTTGGCATCACCCACTGCACTTCCCTGGGAGCAGCCCAAGGCTCCTATTCCTCATCAGGCCCAGGAGTAACGACTAATGAAGGCAGGATTATTTTCCCCACTCCATCAGTCACACGTGGTTAATATTCCTGCTTATGGAAAAAGGTCACAGTTTCTCTCTCATTTATGTCACTCCACCTTTCATTTGCAATTGCAGGGTTCTGCTCCTTTTCCATCCCTAATTAGTGTTCCATTACAGGGTCCCTGCCCCAGCCCCCCACCAGGCACAAGTCCTGGGCCACGCTGCCTCTGCTGGGTCTCCTGTGGAAAACTGACCCAAGAACGGCCCTTTTTTCCTCTGGCAGCACAGAGGGAACCAGATGGACTTTCCTTCAAATGAGATTTAAATGGAAAAACACAAACTAGCTCCTTGTGCCAATATTGAAGGGTTGGTGTCCAGCTGTCCTGAGCACGGGGAAGGTCAGCCCGGGTGACCCTCTGGAAAAAGAGGCCAAAAGCATCAAACACCCTCATGGTTTGCTCCTCTGGCTGCACCACTGAGAAGGGGCTGGAAATGATTCCTTGAACTCTTCTGATGCCTTGTGAAGGCTGAGCTAGAACAGAGACCGGACAGAGCTAAAGAATAAAGCAGGGATTTATTAAAAGGCCTCAATGGATCCACCTTGGGCAGCATAAGAGCCCAGCCAGGGCTGCAACCAGGATTAACCAAAATGGTCACAAAATGCACAACTGCTCATGGGGTCTCCCACTTTTAGAAGTTCTCCTCCATTTGCACATTGGAGTTCATTGTCCAATTCCAGCTCCAGCCCAGGCAGTCCCATCCTGCTTGTTTTTCTCTCTTCATTCCACGTTGTTTGTGCTCTTGGGCTGAGATTTGGATCACTTGTCCTTGGTGCCCAGCTGGAGAAGGAATTGTTTTGTCTCCCTGCTCTGTGCAGAGAGTTCACCATCCCCTGATATGAAGCCCAGACCCGCACACTAAAGCAGCACAGAACCTGAAAAATGTAAAAGCTCAAACCTGAGGCATCATTTCCTGAGGGAAAACAAATCCTCTCACCTAAGGTGAGGTGTTCCACCATGGAGTGTGGCTGAGGGAGTTCAGATTCTTGGGAGAGCCCCTTGAGCTCCCCTGCCCTGTAAACCTCTGCTGCTGCTGCCCTGCAAGGAGTACAGTGAGGACCATGCTCAGGAGGCTTCAGAAGATGGACAAGAGCCTTCCCAAGGCTGCCTGAATCCCCCTCAGTCCCTGCTCCATCCCCACTGGCAGCTCTGGGTGCTCAGGGTGGCTGATCCCACAGAGCCATCAACACCCTGCTGGCTACTTCAGTCTACAGACAAACCCCCTCATCCTGCACTGAAACAGCAGCCAAATTGAGAGGAAAAGCAGCCAAGGCCTTGGTGGAGCTTTCTGCAGATGTCAAGGATGGGAAGTGAGTCGGAGATCAGGCACAGCCCCGCTGCAGGTCACTGCTCCTGCTCCTTCTTCCCTCCCTGGGAAGTGCCTGCTGGGATTTGCTGGCTGAAACAGCCAGGATGTCCCACACTCCCAGCCCTGAAACCACTGCAGGGACACAGGAGTGATCCAACAGCCAGGAGTTGGGAAAAATCCACCCCAAACACGTGGACTGAAAACCTTTAAATGCTTTAAAGCGTTTAAACCGAGGACACTGCAGGGACACAATTGGTGAGCAGCACTGGCAGCAATGAGCCATGGAGTGCCCAGGTGTGCTGATCCCTGAGGGAACAGAGGGCACACAGGAGCAATGAGGGGGATAAAAGGATGGGCTGAAGAACAAGAAGGGCAGATGCTCGCAGCCCCCTGAAGTGATGTGATTTTATTCTGTATGGGTTGAACGTTTCTGAAATTGTCTGATGATCCTCTGTGTATCGTGGCTGTCTCCATCACAACATGTGCTGTGACACTCCACCACCTGCCTGGCAGGAGCAGGACTGTCCCCAGCACCCAAACTCCCCCCAGTTCCCTGGGAACATCAGTGTCCTGTGCCATGACAGGGACAGTGCTTGGGCTCAAATACACCGAGGGAAGGACAATATTTGGTTTAAATTTTTCCTCAATTCCCTTCCCACTGAATATTTTCTCTTCTCCTTTCCAAGAACTTCCTTTATTTCTCCCTTTCTCCCTCTAGCAACAGTATCTGGGAGAAACAATGAATTTTTAATAGGAGGGGGCGGTGGGAAGAGGCAGACCCTGAGGCAAGAGGAGAAAACATTGATCTGTTAAATCACCCCCATCAGCAGGAAACCACATTTAAGGGAGAGGGAGCCACATGAGGACCACACAGCTGGGTGGTGGTCCCCCTTTTCTCTGAACCCAGTGGATGCTGTACAAGTCCCAGCCAGGGTGAATCCTGCTCAGAGGAGCTCTCCCAGCCACTCCACACACCCCTGGCCTTGGCTGATGTGCGGCTGGGGGTGCAGGACCCCCAGGCAGCCCCTTGCACAGGGAGGAGAACCAGAGTTTTTCCACCTTCCCTGGCAGGGTGGGCAGGCCCTGGCACAGGTCATCCAGAGCAGCTGTGGCTGCCCCTGGATCCCTGGCAGTGTCCCAGGCTGGGCTGGATGGGGCTTGGAGCAGCCTGGGTTGGTGGAAGGTGTCCCTGCCACGGCTGGATGGGCTTTAAGGTCCCTCCCAACTCAAATGATTGGGGATTCCACAATCCCAAAGGTGAAGTGTGCCCACCTCCCGCTCCCCACTCTGCTCTGCAGGGCCAGGGCTCATCCCCACGGGGCTGAGGATGCCCAGCTCCCCTCCCTCGGTGCCTGGCCCTGGCTCCCCACCACAGCCTGAGCCTAAATATAGTCCCTGGTTCTCTTTTCTTGTAGACACAACCGGTGCTCTGAGTCAAAGTCCTTTCCCATGAACTCACTGTTGCTTAATAAAGCACAAACCCTCGGAGACCTTGATGCTGAGATCTGTCATTTTAATTCCCAGTAACACTTGTTCCTCTCCACCCCAGTATGTGGCCGCTGCTATTTTGGTTGGCACAGCGGGAGCTGAACAAGGAGCCCCAGCGCTCCAGATCTGAGCTGGGCAGAGCTGGGACAGCTTTGAAAACCAAACCCTCCTGATGGATGGGGCTGCAAGCTGCAGCTGAGCTTGTGGTGGCATGAAAAATTCAGGGGGAGGAAGGCAGGGAAGCAAGGGAAGAGCTGGGCTGAGGCAGAGGAAGGAGGAGGGCACGCTCGGAGAGACGGATCCTGCCTCTGCTCCCGGGGTGCCCATGTGGATGCCAAGGCACCACAGCAGCCTGGGCATCACAGCCCAGACCCTCTGTGCTTTGTTTTTAACCCATCCCTGGTTAAGCTGTTTCTGTTTGCCCAAATTCTCCATCCCAATCTCTGCTGTGTGGTTGTTTTGGGGTGAATTTGGTGCTGTCCCCAGCACGCCCATTTTACACAGAAGAGAGGGAATGGCAGCTGCTGCCCAGCCTGGGGAGGGCTCTGCTCTCCCACCACCGGGGCCATTTCCCCACTGTGCCCCCCCTGTCCTGCCCAGCCTCAGCCCCTACCTCTGACACCCCACAGACCTGGGGCACCCACGGGGCTCCAGCTCCAGCCCCAAACACCACGGCTGAAATGGGAACCGAAGGAGATTCCAGCACATTCCATTGCCAATGGCTGAGCAAGGCTCTGTCCCACTCCTGTATCCTTGGTCCCAAAACCCCTGAGCCAAACCTCGTGGAAGCAGCTGCTTTGTCCTTCAAGGTAAACCCTACAAAAACTTCAAACAGGTTTGTCAGCTGAGGGTGCCCAAAGCCCAATCAATTTCCCTTCCACAGCCACTGTGGCTCTCAGCAGCGTTTCCAAGCGTTCTCGCACGATTTATTGCTTTTCATCTCCTCTCTCATCTCTGTTCTGATCATTTCTGCCCTCGCCTGTTTGTTTTGGGGCTTTTCCAGGACTCCCTGAGCGGCCCTTTGGGCTCAGGCAGCACCTCCTACCCTCCCTGCAGCCCCACGGAGCAGAGACACCCTGCAGGATGCTCCCTCTGCCTGCTCAGACGATCCCACCACTGCTGCACAGCCACACGCAGGCAGCAGGAGTTTGGCTGCCTGGGGGTCTGTGCCACCCTCCAAAGCTCCACACCACAGCCCCGTACAGCCAGGGAAACTGAGGCACGGCACGCACACCGAAGGCTTTTGGAGCCTCGCGGCGAATCAGTGCCACTGGGGACAAGCCCAGGGGTGGCCTCACTTGGCTCCCACTTCCCTTCCCTCGGGGCTGTGCCTTTGGGGGCGTGGGGAGATGTTGCTGGTGCCAGGAGTCCCACCGGGCTGCCCACGGGAATCGCCGCTGCCCACGCCGGGCCATGTGCTTCACATTCCCAGCGTTATCCCTGGGGCTTCCAACATCCCATCCCATCCCATCCCATCCCATCCCATCCCATCCCATCCCATCCCAGGGATGTGAATGCAGCAGTAACACGGCTCCGAGCTGCCGGAGCAGCCCAGCTCCTCCTGCCTTATGGCAGCTCCGGCTCCTCACCGAGAGAAGAGGAGCCACCTGCTCCCTGGGGGAAGCAGGAGTGATCCAACAGCCAAAAATCCATCCTAACAGGAGTGATCCAACAGCCAGGAGTTGGGAAAAATCCATCCCAAACGCATGGACTGAAAACCTTTAAACGCTGAGTGTGGCCGGCCCCGAGTCCGTCTGCACCACCGGGCTGTGAGTCCAGAGTTTAATTCGGGCCCAGGAGGGAAGAGCAGAGATTAGGTTTGGGCCTTGGAGCCAGGGATGAGTTCTCTGGTGAGGCAGGATTAGCTCAGCTAATAAAAGCAGACATTCCTGAGCTCTAAACACTACAAAACAGGAAAAAAGCCCCTGGCCCTGCTATCTTCAGACAGGGATCAGCAGAAGCGCATCCCCCCGAAAGGCTGAGCCTGGCAGGAAAGGCTGAGCCTGGGACATATCCCAGTCCTGCCCAGCACAGCCACATCCCACCCTCAGCATCGATGCCCTGGATGGGTGAAACATAACCCAGCCCCTGTTCCTCCTGTCCTCCTGCTCCCTCCTCCAACAGGGCAGAATAAAAGCAAAACTGATTTTTAAGCTGCTTTGCCTCCCGCTCCCTGCCCTCGGGACGCTCCTCCAGCTGTTTTGGAGGATGGGCATTGGAGAGCATCTTCCCCCAAGATCAGCACACAACCCAAGTGCTTTGGGAAAGGCTGCAGACACCCCAGTGGGGTTTTTGCAATGTGAAAACTGTCAGAAATCTTGGGTGGACCAAAAATCACCTCTCCAAGCTGCTCTGGCCAAAACCCAGCCTGCTCCACCTGTCCTCCAGCAGCCAGAGGCACAGAACCATGGGTGATAAAAACATCAGCACAAAACTAAACCAGATCACCCCAGGCTGCCCAGCTGGGCCCCCACTCATTTTCAATTATTCTCCCATTTAAGGGATGTGCAGCACGTTCTCTGCCATGTCCCAGGGTGCCAGGATTTTATCCCATCTCCATCCTGCAAGGGGTGATGGAGCTTTGGGGTGCAGAGAACCCCAAGGGCCTCACATTTCCCAAAGGGTTATTGCAGGGTTCAACACCTGCATTTGGGATTTTAACCCACACACGACCACATCACTGCTGGGCAACTCTGCTCTTGGAAGGCCTTTTGGTTTTAATGCCTCGTGTTTTGATGGAGAGGATTGTAGGATCTCTCCCTGCCTGGATGAGGCTTTTCCCACCCCTGCATTGGGGCTGGCGCTGGGTTTTGGGGTCTCCATCCTGCAGGCTGCACATCCCCAGGCAGGGTGAGGGTGCATGAGAGACCATCCACAAAACCAAGCAGCAGCCAGGAGCTCTGCTAGGCCCGGGCTGGTGTTCCCCAGGCCACCAGACATTCCCAGTGCTGCTCTGGCTCAGTGCTCCTCACTCCCAAGGGCTGGGGTCGTGCTCTGGGTGCTGCCAGGCTGAGGAGCCTGGCACGGCTCCACTCTCCATCTATTTCACAGGCACTCTGCCTTCTCCTGCCATCCCCTCCCTTCCTGGTTGCTCTTTTCTCCTTCCCAAAAACCTCATTTCAGGGTAGGAACAGAAAAAGCAGCTGCTCCTCTGCAACCGCTGCCTGTGGGAATTGGAGCACCTTTTGTCAGGTTTTAGCTCAAATCCACTTTGCAAGTGGATTAAGGAACTGGCACAAAAGTACTCTGGATGGAGAGTGGGAAGAGGAAAAAGCTGCTATTCCAGCACGGCAATAGGAGCCAGGAATGCTGCGCTTGCTGCCTGCTCCATTTCTCCGAGAAACACAACCCGGTAACATCCGCGGCTAAACCAACCCTCGGAATTTTCGGCAGGAGAATCCGCCTAAAATCCGGGATGCTCGGGGAAGAGGCAGGAAGGGCCCTGGGGTGGCGAGGAGCGCGGACCTGCAGCGCCGGGGGGAAACACGAGCGGGAGGAGAAGGGAAAAGCTTTCCCGACGCCCGGCGATGCTCGGACCCGCTGGGCTGTGCCGGGGAACGGGGCTGCGAGCGGCGGCCCCAGCCCTAACGGGGCCGGGGGGGACTGCGGGTACCGGACCCCCGGGAGCGCCGGGGGATGGAGCGGAGCAAGGGCGGGATGGACCCGGCGCTGAGGCGACACCGCCGCCACCCCCGGGGCGACCCTGCCCGGGGGCACCGGCGCCGCCCGCCGTGCCGAGCCCCCTCCCCGGGCACAGCGGGGGCTGCGGAGGGGCCTGGCGGTGGGCACAGGCGGGGAGGGATGGAGGGAGGGATGGAGGAGGGATGGAGGAGGGATGGAGGGAGGCTGCGTGTCCCCAGGGGCGGCGGGGGCTCGGCGGCCGCCCCCCGGCGCCACGTGTGCGGCTCGGCACGACCCTCCCCGGCCCCGGGACCCCGCACTCACCGCTCGGCGGCCGCGCCGGGGCTGCCCACGGTGCGGCGGCGGCGCGGGCAGAGCCGCAGCCCCGGGGCGGCGCGGCGGCGGCTCCGGCCGGACCCCGGCCCGGCCCCGGCCCGTCCCCGGGGGCGGCGCGGCGGCGGCAGCGCCTCTCCAGCCGCGCCGGGCCGTGCTCGGAGCCGCCCCCCGCGCCCCCCGCCCGGCCGGGGGAGGGACGGGGCCGGGGGCGATGCGCGGCCCCGGGCGGAGAGCGGGCACAGCCCCGGAGCAGCGCGGGGAAGGGCACGGGGGTCTCCTCCCCGCGCAGCCGTGAGCAAAGGGGAGGGGTTCCCCCTGGCAGCCTGGGGTGTTCAAGCCTCGGAGTGCCCTTCCTGAGGTCCCCGACCCCGTGCCAGCACCGTGGGGTACCCCCGAACATCCTGCCTGGGGTACGCAACCTCATGGCAGCACCGTGGGGTACCCCCGAGCATCCTGCCTGGGGTACACAACCTCATGGCAGCACCGTGGGGTACCCCCAAGCACCGTGCCTGGGCTCGCCCAGCCCCACTCCGCACACCTGGGTACCCCCACACCGCCCTGCCTGGGCTTCCTCCACCCACAGGTACCCACCTGCCACCCTGCCTGGGGTCCTCAGCCCCATAGCAGCACCCCCAGATACCCTCTCACCCCATCCCCGTGACAGCCTGCTTGCATCCCTCTGCCCAGCGTCCCCTGCCTGCCCCAGGGCAGGGTCTGGGGGCCACCTCACCCTGAGCTGCCCTCTGCACTGGAGGTGGAGGTGGAGGTGGTTGTGGATGAACACAGCCATTTCCCCTCCATCCCACGTGAAGTTGGGGCAATCGGGGCACAAACAGAGCTGTGACCCCAGGAATGAGCGCAGCCCCCACACTGAGCTCCACTGTCCCTTGCAGCAGTGCCAGGGAGATGCCAGGCTCACGGGACAATGACCTGGAGCCCCCCACAGCATCCCCATCCCCCATGGGGACAGCACTCACCATTGCTATTCCTCCTTGGAGTTCTCCTCTTCGCTCCTGCCGAAGCCTCCTGAGCTGTGGTGATTTGGTTAATTGGGCTTTGAGGATGGCAGAGGCCAATTCCCTCCTTGGCTCTGACTTCCAGGGTGGAATTGTTGCTCCTCTCCGCTCATCACCGGTCAGTCCAGGCTGACCTTAGCCTTGCTGGTCCCTGGCCTCAGGGGCTGTGGGCAGCTGATGCAGAGCGTCCTGTGCCCTTGATGTGCTGTGTGCCAGCTGACCAAGCACCACCTGAGCCATTCGGTGACATTTGCTGTGTCTGACAGCGCTTTTCAAGCAGGGTTTGGCAGCATCTTCCTCACTTTACAGCTGAGGAAACTGAGGGCAGAGCTCAGGGGGAAGGAACGGGGCTCAGCACTGAGCACCAGGCGGGTCCAGCGCCGTGGTTTCACCTGGACTGGCTCTGTTGTGCAGGATTTTGTCAGGAGAAATGCCAACAGCTCTCCCAGCCTTGTCAGTTCCACTCCCAACTCCCATCCCTTGCTGCAGCCCAGCGCTTCTGCTGATGGAGGTTCCTGGTGCCTCCTGCTGCTCGCTTGCTCCGGGATGTGGATTTATAATTTCATTGCAGGCACACGCAGCTCGGGCTTTCCCATTTGAGCTTCATCCCCAGCCTCAGCCCTGGATCTGCGGTTAAAACCAGGAGGTTTATGTGGCTGGGAAGGAATTTCATTGCTGTTTTAAACAATATCAACTTATCTCCTCAGGAAAAGATGAAAAATCGAGGCATGAAGATTGTGGCCGGTTTAGTTGGGGATGGATTTTTAAGAGGCCGATGTGGGGGGAGGGTGTGCCGGAGCAATCCACGTCTCATTTCCATTCCCCAGGATGGAAGGTGATTCTGGCTAATTTGAACACAATCATTAAGCTGCTGTATCAAAAGCACAAAGTCAATTAAGCAGCGTCCCCCCCCTGCCCTGGCCCCTCAGGCTGCGCTGTTTTAATCAAGGATGGGGGGAATTGCTGCTGCTTCCACACAGCTCCCGATCCCGGTGCTGGGAGCTGATTTTACCTGGTGGAAGATCTCTCCTGCCTGCTGGCAGGGGTTAGAGGTGATTTTGGGGGAGCAGACTGCTGACAAATGCACTGGGGGAGCCCCAGGTTGGAGAGGGCTGCTTTGTCCCCTCCCCGAGCATCTCACCAGAAATTCAAATTATTTCTGTCTTACTGTGCCCCCTTCATGGCATTATTTTCTTCTGGGGGAAACCAAGGCACAAACTTGGATAAGGGAGCAGGCAGGTTGTGGTTCAAGCCTGGGCTGTAGGTTTTGGCTCAGCCCTGCTCCCCCTCTGGGCTCTCTCCCCCACCCATTAACTCCAGTGCCTTTCTGGCATCATTTTGGGCTTTGAGGAAGGAACAGGACAAAGCTGTGGAGGAAAAGCACCGGGCTGAGGTGACCAGTTCTGCTTCCCCAAGCCAGAGTCCAGCACAGGACATTGCAGAATCCCATGGGGCCCTTGGTCCTGTGCTCCAATTAATTCAAATTGGCTTCAATATGAGCATAAATCCAAAGGGATCTTAGGCCAGGAGCCAGGGGCAGGATTGGGAGGAGGTCCCTGCCAGGGGCTGTGGCATTTGGGGTGCTGAGATGGGACCCAGACCCCACCTTAGGGAGCTTTACCCCCATCTGTCACCTCTGTCCCAAGAGCCTGGCCCTAAACAAAGACAGCAGCCCCACAAATGAGGATGGGGACCCATAAACCACCAAAAACCTCCAAAATCTTGCTGAGCATCGGGATTGGAATGAATGGGGCCAGCTGGGAACACAAATATCATGGAATCATATAATCATCATAGTGGGAAGAGACTTTCAAGACCACCCAGTCCAACTGTGCCCCAGTTTGGGGGGACACACAGAAGTGGCAGGACCCTGGGGCTGCCCTTGCTCCAGGGAGGGTCCCTGCCTTTGGAGATGCTCTTCCAAGTGACCCAGCTCTGGGAGTGTCTTGACAAGTTTTGCTGCTTTCTGGGGCATTTTCACACAGACTCAGCAAAATGATTTAGGAAAAAAAAAAAAAAAAAAAAGAAGTGTGAGAGAAATAAAAAAATCACAGCTGCTCTGGCACACGCTCAAAATCCCAAAGAGTTTTTGAGTAAAACGTGCCAAGGGGAGAAAAATAATTCCAACAAAGTGAGAAGTAAGGTCCTTTTTGCCCTCAGTTTTCCCTCTGTGGTGAAGGGAGGGATCTTTCCCTGCTGATCCCAGGATCCAGAGCCTCTCCCTGCCTGCAGGTCCCTGCCAGCCCTCCTGCCTGGTCCCCTGCCAGCCCGAATGCAGCATTCCAGCACTGCCAGCTCCACTGACAGCCCGAGAGGTTTTTGTCCCCATTCAGGATGCAGCATTGGAGCCTCGTGCTGACAGCAGGCTCCTGGTGCCCATTAATTCTGCCTAATGGGAACCTCGATGGGCTCCTCGAAGGAGCCAGCTGGCTGCTCCCACTCCACGTGCTCCTGCAGAATTGGGGTTTTGGGGAGCCCACTTTGGTGCTGGGCTGATGCCACGAGGGTTTGGGGGTGCCAGGGAGCCAGTCCTGGCTTGGCAGCCCAGACCCCCCCCAGCCCCAAATGCCCTTGAGCAGAGCCAGCCACACCACAGGGACTGGAGACAGCACTGTCCCCAGGTTTTGGGCCACAGGGCTGAGCTAGGGGTTTATTCTGTGCTGACCAGAGGCTTTGCAGTGCTCCAAACATCACTGGAGGGTGACACTGCACAGCTGGAGGGCACCAGGGACACTGCCCTTTGTCGTCCCCTCCATCCACCTGGAGCCACCCTCTCTCAGGGCCCTGCTGAGTTGGGCCCAGGAGGTGCCATGGGCTCACTCTGGCCTGGTCACCCATCACACCCCAAAACGCAGCTTCTCCTCAGGTGTGCACTCTGCCAGGAGTCAAGCATGGAAAGTGGGGGGCACAGCCCCACTGTGGGGTTTGGGGGACACAGGGAAGAGTGGCTACCACACCATGAGTGACATCTGTGACCTGCTGTGCATGGAGCTGGGGTTGTTCCCCTGCAAACCCTCTTGTTCCCCGTCTAAGCCCTGGATTCCCCCTCCAAACCCTCTTGTTCCCCTCCAAAGCCCAGGTTTCCCCTCCAAACCCTTTTGTTCCCCTCCAAAGTCCCAGGTTTCCCCTCCAAACCCTCTTGTTGCCCTCCAAAGCTCTGGATTCCTCCTCCAAACCCTCTTGCTGCCCTCCAAAGCCCTGTATTCCCCTCCAAACCCTCTTGTTCCCCTCCAAAGTCCCAGGTTTCCCCTCCAAACCTTCTTGTTCCCCTCCAAAACCCTGGATTCCCCTCCAAACCTTCTTGTTCCCCTCCAAAGCCCTGGATTCCCTTTGCAAACCCTCTTGTTCCCCTCCAAAGTCCCAGGTTTACCCTCCAAACCCTCTTGTTTCCTCCTCCAAAGCCCTGGATTCCCCTCCAAACCCTCTTGTTCCCCCTCCAACGCCCATTTCCTCCATCCCTCTCTGCCCTGACCCCAAAGTCTGTGTGTCTGCACTTGAGATCTGTTCATTCTGAGCAGGAACCCCTGAGGGGGGACAGTCCCACCTCGTGTTCCCTGCCAGAGCCCCGGGTGAGCGGCCCCGCTCTGCACACACAGCCTGAGCCCGTGACTAAGCCCAGTTACTTTTAATAAATATTTGGTAATAACAATGGAAGTTTCTTTGGCCAGGAACCTGCTGTTCTGAGCTGTGCCAGGCAGAAGCACCAGCAGGTGAAGGGTTTTCATCCAAGCAGGAGGGAAAGGGACCTTTCCCCTCTCTCACTGCCGGGCTTCATGCGACAGCAGTGCTGGATCCTCACCTGCCCTTCCTCCCACTGCAACCCCTAAGTGAGCCCTCATGTCTGGGTCCAGCTGTCCCTTCTGGCACTGAAGTCACCCCAAGGTGACAAACTCCACCAAAGAAGTATTTCCTCCCTTTTTTAAGGGCCAGTTCTGCAGAAACATCCAGCCCCAGCCGGCTTCAGCAGGAGCTTTGCAGGGCTCAGCAGCCCTCAAACCCGGCCTAACATTTCCCTGCTCAGAGAAGGAACAAGCAAATTATCTCTGGTTTCCCAGCACAGGCTGCATTTCTCCTGCTGCACAAATTAGGCCATCCCAGGTCCCATTTGCAAGGCCATCCCTGCTTTGCTGGGGATCAGGGGGGCTTGCACAGCGCCCAGATCATGGTCACGGAGCTGGGCACTGCCAGACATGGAGCTCGTGTCACCCTCCAGGGCTGCCCGGCCCCACAGAGCCCACGGCCGAGGGTTCATTGCCCAGATAATAAAATATTGAGCCATGAGAGTGTCCAAAGGAGGGCAAGGAAGATGAGGAAGGGCTTGAGGGGAAGCCATGTGAGGAGGGGCTGAGGGCACTTGGCTGGTTCAGCTGGAGCACAGGAGATGAGGGGAGGCTCCTCGGGGGCTGCAGCTCCTCCCGAGGGGAGGCAGAGGGGCAGGGGCTGAGCTCTGCTCTGGGACAGCTCCTGGAGCCCAGCAAGGGCTGGAGCTGTGCCAGGCCTTGGCATGGAGCTCAGGGAAAGGTTCTTCCCCCCGAGGGTGCTGGCACTGCCCAGGCTCCCCAGGGAATGGTCCCGGCCCCGAGGCTGCCAGAGCTGCAGGAGCGTTTGGACAGCGCTCTCAGGGCTGCTCAGGGTGGGGCTGTTGGGGGGTCTGGGCAGGGACAGGGGCTGGGCTGGTGATCCCTGAGGGTCCCTTCCAACTTATCTTATTCTGTGATTCTGTGATTCAGTGATTCAGTGATTCTGTGATTGTCCTGCCCATCCACACCAGGATGTCCCCATTACTGTGCCAAGCACACCTCAGCCCTGATAAAAATAAGATATTTATAAGTGGATGTCCTAGATTGCGTGGACAAGAAGGGAAAATGTTAGGGGTAAAATCTGAGGTGATCATCTGTAGAGTGCACCCCACAGCCCAGCCACTCGCTCCCCAAAACCCCTGAGCTCAGGCAGTCTGGGGCAGCTGCATTTGGAGCCTGAAATGTTCTGCTCTCCATTGCTTTTGGGTGGAGCAGGGGTCCCAGCGTGAGGCTTTCCCACCCCAGGGACTCCCCCAATCCCAGTCCTGTCACTGCACTGTCCCCGGGCTGCTCCCAGCCCGGCAGGGGACCCTTGGGGACACAGGTGGCACTGCCACCCTGCCTGGCTGGGCAGGGCTGGGCAGCAGCAGCAAACCCTGCTGTGGAGCCAAGGATCACGGTGGGGAGGAGGAACTGGGGCTGGCAGCAGCTCCTCTGCCAGTGGATCCTGGTACCTGCAGCACCTTCCTGGATTAGCAGAGCAAACAGAAACCACACAGCTGCCAGGATGGGAAAATCAGCTGGGCAATGCTGGCCCCACTGGTCGAGGGGAATAAATCATCAGGTGTGGGGAATAAATCCCAGAAGGGACTCACAGGGATCATCAAATCCAACCCCTGTCCCTGCCCAGACACCCCAACACCCCCATCCTGAGCAGCCCTGAGAGCGCTGTCCAAACGCCTCCCATCCCTCACCAAGCTCAGGGCTGGATCCGTGTGCTGCCGTTCCCGGTGGGATCCCAGCGCTCCCCCACACTTGGGGAGCTGGGGGCGGCCACTCCGCTGCCTCCCCGCGAGGAAATTGCTCCTGATGGAATCCAGCCCACGCTCCCTGAGCCGCAGCGTGCGCAAGGAACGCGCTGCCACCCCCGTCTCCCTCCTGCCTTTCCCTGCGAGTGCCATCGCATCCCTCCAGCAGCTCCCAGCTCCTTTCCAAATACCATCAGAGAGATTAGAATTCCAGGCACTGCGGTGCCACGGAGGGCAAACACGGCTTTTGCACCTTCCAGATGGAAATGTCCCCGTGTCCCCACGTCCCTGTGGCACAGACCCGCAGACAGAGCACGTTCTAATCCCCTTCATTCATCTGCTTGGCCTCATCAGCTCCCAGCTCTGGGAGCTGCTGGTTCCTGCTCAGGGATGGGGCCATTGTGCAATACTCCTTGTCCCCAGGGAATCTGAACAGGATTGCACCTGAAAACCCCCAAATCCGTGCCTGTCTCTGGCCCGGTTCTCACCCAGGGATGGCTCAGGCTGGACTCAGGGCAGGAGGGATCTCACTGGGGCCACCAGCCAGGGACATCCCCCTCAGCCTCTCCTGGTGGCTCCCTCCCAGCTGGCAGCGTGTCTGACCCACCAGTCACTCTCCAGGGTGCTGTCTTGGGAAAAAAACCTGCCACTTGGCATGAGGGGCTCAGGGCCACGTCCCCAGTCACCACCAGGATTGTCCCCTTGTTGGGAAGGAGGAGACCCACAGCAGCAAACTGGAGAAGAGCACCTGCACCCCAGCGTGGGCTCAGTCACCTCCCAGCAGGAGCTGCCCAGCCCCTCACCTGTGCCCAGGTGCAGCTGGCAGGTGACAGTGGTGACAACACACTGTCCCTTTGCCTGCTGGAGGCTCTCAAGGTTTTCCCACCCCTCTGCTTTGAGGGATGTGCCCTTCCCAGTCCCTTTCCTGCTTCAGGGCCGTGCTGAGGCAAGGAGGTGCCAGTCCCTAAAATTCTGCTTCTTCCCTGTCCTCACATGAATCATACCCAGAATATGAACTCAAACAGCAAAGGAAGAAGTTCCCCCTGTCCCCATCTTTTCCTGCTCTCCCCAGTCCAGCACACGGGGTCCTGCTTTTTATTTTTGCTGCCTACTCTTGCTCCTTGTCCTTGGAGTGGGATGGGAGCTGTTAGGTTGAAAGAAATTATGCTGGGATGAAGTGATGGCAGAGCTGATTCATCAGCCGGGGGGGTCTACAAGGTCTAATTTGGGAGGGAGGATCGCTGACGAATCCTTCGGTAACCAGGAAGACTTGGGAAACTTTTCCTGGCTGAACACATCATTAATTTCCCTGCCCATCCAAGAGCTGGGACGGGGAGGCTGCCATGGTTAGGGAGAAGGTTTTAAACAGGAAATGTGTTCGCAGGAAACTGCTTCAAATTTTCTGGGTCATCATTAATTGTTGGACTGGGTGATCTCACAGATCTTTTCCAGACTCAGTGGTTCCATGGTTCCAAAGCCTCCGGGGGCTTT